AATTCACTGTTTTGCTCGATTGAGACAACTGACATATTACAACGTTCGATCACTGTTAACCACCAGAAAAGCCGTTGATACAGTACTGACCGATCACTGGCCGCATGTTCCATGAGATACAGGGTCTGGAAGAGTATTTCCCGGATCCAGGGTTTCACCAAAATAGAACGCGGGATTCGGCAAACATCGACGGGATACGGGATTCGACTGCGCGCTTTAGACGTCTTTAGGAAGAAAACGTTATTTGGAACAGCAACGACAGAAGTTCGAGAAGGAGGATTCTCGTTACAAAGGATTCAGAATGTGGGATCGGATCCCTCCTTTCCAGACCTTAGAGATACATGTAAGAATACGTGAACGACTACAGATGAGTCACTTCCATTACAACATATGGATAAAAGCTATGTTTACCTTGATGAGATTTGTTCAAGATAAGTCGTCAGCCTTTGCTTCAAAGTAGGTTTCAGATCTGTCTCTGGTTCTTGGATAGGATCCTTTTCCCTAAAAGACTTTATAAGTGCATTTCCAGTTCCCGTTTTGAAAAGATCCTTCACAAAGTCACTGACTTGACTCTTAGCTGCTATGTAAAGCATCAACTTCAATATACTGGTGAGCGTGAGACTTGACTCTGATGGTGTCGTGAGAGCCACATCTATGAGATAAAGAGAGTCATAATTTAATACTAGAGGTTACAAATTGTAAGTATAATGATGGGAGCAGATGCTGGACAGTAAAATATCGTCAAAGGAATGATGAAGTGGTGTACACATTTTGCTATGAGTTCTTTGTGACTGGGTCATTATTGGCCAGTTTGAAACTGTTTGCGTGTGCCCAAATATGCAAAACTTAGCACAATTAGAATGATACAATTAAGGTGTGTTACTATTTCAAATCAATCAGGGTTGTCACTAAGATTTCAAGTTGCCAGGTAAATACAACAAGTAGGCTGGGAATCAAACGGCTAGGGATTTCTTTTCGTTCTATTTTTGTTCTATTTCCCAATAAAAGAAGCTGGGGGCCACTCTCTTAGTAGCCGTGGAAAATCCTCGGCCCCCGGCTCTTCATGACAACCCTGTTAATTAATAATTAATTACCACTGTCCATTTCTGCTAAAAACCATCCTGACACAAATGTCCAGATTGTAATGCCCATATAGTGCCGGGATGCCCAAGAAACAACAGGGAACCCAAGGTTTAATGTGCCACTCACCTGGGGCTTGCAGCAAAAATTGATAAAAAGTGAACAGACTGGTCTTTATATGGTTATTATTTTACCTGTTTCTGTTTCATTTCGTTCTGTGGTCAATGAGTCTTTGCTGGGTCCATTACTGGAGAATGCCTTCATGAATTTTCCTCGATAATTTGCACTGCATACAATCTTTTGAAATCCAGAACAGATCTCTTCCTTGTATGTAAACTGAGTGCTTCCAAGAACTCTACCATCATTGGTTTCAAGTTGAACAGTCACTAAACCAGGTGTTTCACTTCCTGAAAATTATACAGGAAAGATTTATTTTGAGCAACTTTGCTTCTTGACACAGATATATTTGAGGAAAAGATACATGTGGTTCAGTTATTCCCGTTGGGCACGCCAGATTTCACAGGTTCAGAGCACTAAGGGCTCACAGGGTACCACTTTTCTTACTCTAGAGGTCAAGACCGACTTGTATGGGGGAGTATTTGTACACGAGGAAATTGCAATACATTTTTTGTGCATCAGAGAAATGACTGACAAAAATAAAAGCACAGGGGTCAATATTTAACAAACCCTTTGGCTTTACAAGTGTAATTTACAAGTGTGGCTATTGATTTCAGGCTCTAAAACAATGGATACACTTTCAAATTACACTTGTAAAAGTTTTAATAAATTGACCCCAGCTTTAAAAAATCCAGGAAACCTTCATGCATCACTTACTTGGTATGTGTTCCCCTCTGATAACTTGTTCTTCCCATAGGGTAACAGGGACAACATGTGCAATGCCAAAACGGACACACAACAGAGAACGCTCAATTTCATCAATTTCTTCTGGTAAAGGCTTGTTGAGAAGCAGGACAAATTTATCACCACCCTAAGAGACAAATTTACTCATGGTTTAATGGTAAAAACATAATTATAGCTTGCATAGAGCTAGGACATAATTGGTACAAGAAAGTACAGGTGTGCAAGTATGATGATGATGATGGACTTCACTTAGGTGTCTACAGTCTTCTAGCTGACCTCATAGGAACTACTTTATATAGGGGACACTAATTAAAATACTACCAACCTAACTACTAAAATATAAGAATAATATTTTAATACAGAAAATAAAATAATTTTTACAAAAAATAGGCTCCATAAAAATTTTCAAAATTCTGGCTGGGACATTTCATGTAAAGTAATGCTGATTAATTACAAGTTCCGTACTGTCTCAAAAATAGGGACTTAAAGCAATGACTACGGAATTGAAGGAGAGACATGTGAAGGGAGAGGAAGTCCCCTTATTCTTTCATAGCACCTGCTACGCAGGCTAGCTGTCCTTTGTGTATGACGAGGTTTGCGGGTGACCAGAGGAGCCTACAACCTAATCTCCAGGTGTTATTTAATATTACGCATGTGTCACACATATGTAGCCAGCATTTGTTTGGACTTCCACTAAGAAGGAATGGAATGCACAGAATGCAATTTGATCACTCGTGTTGGGCCTCCTGTCTGAGTCACTCGTAATCTGATCACGCACGTTTTGACCATCAGTCACGTGAAACTTGCAAGCGTTAGAGCAAAAGCATTTTTGACCTTTGATTGTTGTCACCCACACTCAGTAACTTATTATTACTAGTTTAAGGCTCGCTTGTTGGAATTTATCCTAACAGAACTTCAGCAAACTTTTCTTGTTACAACACTTCATCATTACCTCACATGGAGAAGAACTTGGAACAATTTCATTCACCAGCTCATCAGAACCTGCAAAAATAAAAAATAAAAATAACTTTGGATGTCAGTTTTAAAACCTGGTTGAACATGTTAATCATTTTAAATACTCCCTTTTTACATGTGTATGAATACAAGCTCTTATCAGAACTAAAAGTGATGAGTGCATCAAAAAATGTACCTTCACAAAAATTCTGAAGATTAATTATGTTTCAGTTTTACAGTTTTCCTCAAGTTAAAGAACATATTGCAAGAGATGAGGATTTACAGTCAAACCTCCACTAATGACCATCTCTCCACAACAGCAAACTCTCTACAGTGGCCACTTTTTGGGGGGGCCGACACTCCATACATTGACTCTTGTTTGAGCCTCGCTACAACAGCCACTTTTCGCTGCCCCCAAAGTGGCCGTTGTAGTAGTAGCCCGGTGGGGGGTTACTCCCTCTCATAAGGGCTTTATGGGGACATGCGGCCAGTCAGGGTATGTTTTTCGGGATTTTTGTCTTAAATAGGGTATCGCTTTAACATTTTTTGTCTTAAACAGGGTATCGATTTTATTAATTTTGGTCTTAAACAGGGTATCTTTTAAAATAGTTTTGTGATTGCTAATGCATTAAATAAGAAAGAGTTTCGATATTTTTTTTGTCTTACACAGGGTATGGTTTCTGGTTAAATGTCTTAAACAGGGTATCAAAAATCGGAATTCCGTCTTAAACAGGGTAGGAAAATCAGGGATTTTTGTCTTAAACAGGGTCAGGGTATGAGGGGCCACGATGCACCTTCCCACCCAAGGATATATCGAGTACCCATCTGGGAGTAGTAGCTTTCTCCTTAATTTGCAGATGGGGAGGAGGGACTTAAACAAGTGAATTTAAAGGAACCAAATATAAAGCACCTTTTTTAGCACCAGATGAGCTCAGGTCTTCTTCAGATTGAAGACCCTTTAAATAATCATCCAAGAGAGAATTGAAGTCTATTACCTGGGGGGAAAAAATGTTGTAGTCAATCTTACATTTCTTCAAATGCAACTGCTTCATAACAGCATTGTGAGATACTGGTCACCAAAGTCATGATTTGGATCAACTTATCATTACACTAATACAACTAATCGTACGCCAGTATCTATGTATGGGCTCAATCGGCGTACATATGACGTAGCTAATGCTATTTATAGTGGCAAAAGCTCGTCGTCTGGAAAATGTTTGTCCAAAAAAATACGCACAAGATTTCTGCCCGTCAAAGGCGAGTAAAGTTTATTGGTGGCAAAACAAAACATTGATTTGCCTCTTTAACGAAGAGATCATTCGACATGTAAAGCTATATGAAATGTATTTTAGAAGTTTTATGAGCTAAAGCTCTGTAAAGATCGACCAGGTGATGTGGTCCACACTACGACTAGAGACCAAGCGAGCAAAAATGAACAAAAAACGTCTTGATACTCATTGAAATAGCTGAAAACAATAAATAGTGCAAAAATGCGCGAAAAACCGCTACAACGTGACACTTCTTAAGTGCAAGCATCTACATACTGCTACATTTGTACCTCCAACATTTTCCGTCCCTTGTTAGACGCTGATTTCTTCGATTCCTCGTGCTTCCGTTCACAAGCTTCGCTTTTCGGTTTCGTCGACCTGTCTTCGTAATCAAAGATCGTTGGAATAGCATCGTGCTTCAATAATACCTTTTTCGGCTTTGGTATGCCCAGAGACTCGAAAACTTTCGGATGAGTGGCATAACAGTGTGGCTCAAAATGCGCTGAGCACAATCTCGAATTTTTGTTTGGTTCCCAATTCAATCGTCTCACTTTCTCTTTCCAGATTAGACGATATTTCTCATCAGAAGGAAACTGAAAAAAGCTCAGTTGCTTCATCTTTTTTCCATCGTTGTTGCAATTGAAGGCGCTGCAATAAACCATTTTTAACTAAAGGAAAACCTACATGTGATTCCTTGAAAGCTCGCAAAGATAGCACCAGTGACGTCATATGGTGAAGGAAGGGATGAAAATGTAAACTAACCGTTGATTGGGCATCAGACAACCAATGAAAACACTCGACACATTTCTTATGAAAATTTGCGCGGTATCTCTCAACATCAACAGTTCGAGGAAGCTGTTCAAATTCACCGCTGATTTAAAGCTAGGATGAATCCGCTTCTGTAAAAGTAAGTTATAAGCGTGCAGAAGAATTAATACAATCCCTTGGAAAGTTTACCCTAAACAGGGCTATTCACTGCTAGCACAACGCTACAGCAACGCGTGGTATCAATTGTTGTGCTACGATCATGATTGAAGATTTTTTGATCGCGATGCCTGGAAATCAACAAGCAAGTTTACGTTTATTACCCACAAAAACAGAAACAGACCTCTCTGTAATGTAGATAATGGTGTAAATTGTTAATGAGTATTACGATAACTAAATAACGACTCCAATAATCCCTTGATCATGTTGTTTGCGGCCATCGTAACACAATCTCGTGTGGCACGGATCATGCCAATTTCTGATCCGTGTGCAAGCGAGCTTTACATATAGAAGTACTTGCGTTCATGTAACTTGAGTTTATATAGAATCTGTCTAATACAGTCGTGAATGAAGGTTTTCTCAAATCGTGTCATTGTACCGTACATTCAAAATCTGGGCAAACTTCTACTCCCGATCCGTGACTTTTACAAAATCAGACCAGACAATAGCCTACTTCAATTCAACTGAAAATCCTGGAGATCCAGAGGGATCAGTTGTGAAGAAGTTCAGAATATATAATAACATTATTTCTGTGTGTTTTCCCCTTTTTTCTCTCTCTAACAAATAATTTTTCTCTTTACATTTTCCGTTTCATTTTGATTTTGTTAAGAAATGACGTGTGTCAACAGACTAGAACCAGCAGGCCAATATTCATCTTTTTTTGCTGGCAAAAAAGATGTGGCAACTTCATCAGAAGATCAAGAATATTTAAGGTGACTATGTAATAAACAGCATAATAAGCCTTGGTCAAAAGCATTTTGACATGAATATAATTTTCACCTTCAACATTTAATTACCTTTATAAAACTAGAAAAAAGGGGAGACCAGTCGTTTTGATACGAGCTCAGGCAATCAAAATGTCACAAAAATTTTGATCATTTCAGCTATAGTGTGTGGATGAACAAGAATAACATTGTAGGTGAATATCCTTCGTTCTTTAAGCCAAGTATGTGAAACTATTTACCACTCGCTTGAACAAGCTTGTATTGAAACGACCTAGTGGTTGCTTACTGGAGGTGGTCACTTACAAGAATCATACTCACAAGGGTCTCTTCTGAGAAGAGGTTTGCACACATCCTCACTTTGTGGAACATAATTTATTGCATGCAATTTCTAAGTTATGCCATGTGTAGTTCCATGTTGTTACTAAAGTTCTTCACATATTCTAAGTAGCATAGTGCACAACGAACTTGGAGATCAGAGAATGCGTAAGGTGGTAGTTAACAAGAGGTTAAAAACAATGGAAAATCAATTAACTGCCAGGCCTAAAAAGTGGTTGTGGTCGCTTACAGCAAATGGTCATTTACTAGAGGTTTCAAATTTAAGGCTTTGTCTAGGAAAAGTTTGGTGTTTTGGATAGGCGGTCGTTTATGGGAAGTGGTCGTGTACAAGAGGTGGTCGCAAATGGAGGGGATCAATGCAGGTGCATGTCTTCCCTTGCTAGCAGAGCCTTTCTTTTACTTGCTCGATTTTTGTATACTCGATAAAGACTAATGCAGAATAGAGTAAGATCTTTTTCGAGCATGCACGACATGTTGCTAGGTAATTAATTTCGAACCCAGGCCTGTTAACTGTGTGCTCGATTTATCAATAAACAGATGCTCGCACTACAAAAACAGTTTTACGAGAGAGAACAAGATTGATTGGTCCAGAAGTTTGGGCTGCGTTGGCTTCAGAGGTGATTCAGGCAGAGCCTACTTTTCTCTCCTCCTTGATTAAGAAGAAGACAAAAAAAGGCTCTGTTTGCAGGGTGGTGCAAGTCGAGAACATGAAGAATTTGCAAGGTCACGTTCTAGCCCAATCTAACCCCTGCCATGTTTCATAAAACAACAAAAATTAATTGAATATTTTGTTTTTTCAGAATGCAAAGAAATGGCATCACTGTAGAACCGTTAAATTTTCCAGCAACTCCATCAGTACTTTGGTAAATATTACTGATAATGAACCATAAAGATGCATTTAAAGTAACATCTAATCTTTGGGCACGTTGTCACTGCGGTAAGAATTAAAACAATAATGCAATATAGATGTAACGGGGCTCAAAAAAAGTCCTGTCCAGTAGTTTGGGATGCACAAGTTGCTTAATAGCCTTAGTGACTATCCATAATAGAGGAGAGGAAACAGTTTGCAAATCAATAAAGCATGTGACCTGTATTAATGCTTTTATTAATTTTTATCAGGAACAGAACTGCCCAAGGGGAGTCTGAAACACTCCATTTGACAGCAAAGAGGTTAGTGCTACATGTACATTATTAAATTGATAGTCAGGTCTCAGGCACTTTGTGTACCTCTATCAGTTTACAGTTTAAATACTTTTTAACATAAAAGACAACTTGTCTGGACCTATTTGCTCAGCTGGTAAGTGAGTGTAAAATATGAATAAGTACAAAAGTTACTTATACAAATCACCACTAACACCTCATCAAATTCATTGGACTGTTAAGGTTGGCTTTCTCCAGTCGTATTCAGAAGCGTAGAGCTAATGGTATAGTGAAAACAGCGTTTCGATTCCACTAACGACTCTGTCCCTTATGGTCCGTTTATGATGTAGTGACAGCCAGATGGTCGTAGTCGGAAGCAGAAGCGGAAGAACTAAACCAATCACAAAGCATGGGAACGTGCATTGTGATTGGTTCATCCTTCCGCTACTACTTCCTACACCAACAATCTGGTTTTCACTAGATCATAAAGAACATAAGTGACAGAGTCATAAGTAGAGTCGGAAGAAAAAGAAATGTTCTGATTCTTCTGACTCCAATTCCGTCGTGCTTATGACTTTGCTTACAGCTCTGACTTCTGATTTTCACCAGGTCATAACCCTTTTACGACACCGACTCCAACTCCATTGCTAGTGAAAACCAGCCTTTACTATCACATATATGCATGAATCTTAACCCATTTGTGTGGCATTCCATTTTGCATATAAATAAATTAGCCCCAAAATACAACATGCAGAATATGCTGAATGGCCAGAAAATGTCAATTAAATCTGAAGTTTATCGATAAGGAAATCCTAGCCAATAAACTTTTCTGATAGGTTAATTGATTTATTTACACAGACTACTCATGACCTCTCTAATGCATTGCTAGTGAACTTTTTGTTAATTTTACTTCTGGCAATTTTTCTAGGAATGTGAGACTATATATCAATGAAAAAACTCTACGGCTGGCCCAAAGGCATGTCAGTCAAACCAAGTCTTCCTTTGAGTGCTTTTTGGTTGGAAGCATCTCTGTTGACTCAGGTGAGTATTAACTAAAGAAAGTTTCTCATACACTCAATACTGAACCCTTGATTCCTGAATTGCTAAACTGGGATAGTGTTGAGTGCATGTTTGCTGTTCATGTTTCAAGTGACTGACCTGTTTCTTGAGAAAACAACTTTTAAAGCTATTTTATATACACTTCATGGCATCTGGGCAGAAGGTTTGTAAAGGTCCACGTTATGCACACATATTGTCATCATTACTCGTACCCAGGCCTGCAATAAAAAAATGTGAATCCAATGGGCAAGCATTTCTCACAGTGACATTTTGCTTACCTGGGTCCACTTCTTGCTCCCCTTTACTACAATTCGTTTTTAATAAGAATGACTTGCATCTGCCTGGGCATTGGACAAGCTAAGTTAGCTTTAAAAGTTACTTGCTCAGCAAGAAAATCCATTGATATTACAGGTACATATATGAATTTATAAATGTTGTGTTTAAAAGGCAAATCATTGCTCTTCAGGAGAAGACTGTGTTGATGTTACTGTTGACAGATTTGATCCAGGAAGGGAAGTGCTGGTAAACAGTGGTAAGGCTTTTTGTTGTTGTTATTTTGTTCAGTATAAACTTACTGTTAAAATTTATGATAACAGTTTAAGGTACATTGTAACTTGCATACACTGTGTCGCTTAACAACATGGAAATAATATGTATGGGTAAATGAAACAGTTTGTCACTGCAACACTGATTTTCTGTAATAATATTAATGGTTATTTTGAAATGTTTTCACTTACTGAAGGTTTTGTTTAATCTGTGATAGCACCCTATTCATGTACAGTGTTCATGTATGTGACATGCCTTAAAAGCTTCTCTTTGAAATCATTCTAGGTTCACGAAAAGTCAAGAGAAAAGTCCCAACAACAGTTGTCCCAGGAGATCATATCGTACCCATATCTGTAAGTTATATTTTATTTGTTATTTTTGAAACTGAATCACCACACTTCTAGTTCATGGCAAACTTGAGTCACTAATAGATTTAAAAAGTGTACTTGAAAAAATAGTATATCAATTAACCCTTAAAACCCTAATCTTGAGTGATCAGCATCAAATCTCTCCTTGTAATAGTAATGCCATGTAAAACAGAGTGGTCATGAGAATTAAGAACATATCATACAAGATGTACTTGCTTAATATTTTATCAACTTCTCCCCACTACTTCTGTAGGAAATGAATAGGGGCAACAAAGGATAGTTTTACATATAATTTTGATCTTAAGGTTTAAAGGGTTAACCCCGTTGCCCATGTTGTTGCTTTATAGTTCATTCAAGGACTAAGTGGAGCAGACAATGCGGTGATGCACACAGAAGATGAATTTTACAAAGCCTTTCAGGTTCTTTTCGGAAGAATAAGTAGCCAGGAACCTGTCAACTTATCTCATCTTGTGAGCCTGAAAGTGTCTTGTCATTCACATGGAAATGATGATGAGATCATAATCAATGTGAACTGTAAGGACCCGTACTCATTTTTTGTTTCTAAATATAAAGTTAATCTCTGGCAGCACCAGCGTCTGCTGAAAACTACTGTCTGTAGTCATCACTGAAGAACTGGTTACTCATAGTTAAAACAAAATTAAGGAGGCTAATAAATCTGTTGCTTTGTTCCTCAACAACAACAACCAAAAAATATTAGAGTAGAGCTAACATAAAAAGCTGCAAGTTTGGAAGGGAAAAATTCCCTTTTTCTAACCTTACACCCTGGAGTGCCTTTTGTTGTTGCCTACTTGAATTGTTTTTCTTCTTCCTTATAAATTTTCTGGAGAGGAGAACTCCTGTGTACCTGGCCTATTGTCCTTTACTGTACCCTACAGGTTTGCACCAAGACTAGCACAGTCTTGTTTTCCTTCTTGTGTTAAGACTTGTCTATCTATCTGTTTTGATAATTTTAAGGTGGCACCATCACTATGGCAACACAAATTCAAGCCATTCCGGTCGCACCTGTGCCCATCATTCCCACAGCGCTTGCTAGGAATCTATCAGGTCCCTTGAGACTAAGTGAGGTGCAGGGAATGCCAAAAAATGGGTGAGTATAACTGTGAGTCCCTTGTTTTATTTTCCACTTTTATGTCATTTTTAAATGCAAATTTGTGTTAATGGTTAAGTGTTTTTCAACTTAACTACTATCTCTGGATTATGTTGTAGATACTTAACAATGGATCACACTCGGAAGTTGCTGTTGCTGTTAGAATCAGATCCAAAGGCTTTCTCTTTGCCTCTTCTTGGAATGTATGTAACACCCTGCCACAGTTTGTAGTTTATACTTTTTTGCTGTAGCATTGTAAAGTTTCAATTTGATGAAGTCTGCTACCACCACTACCAACTACTACCACCACCACCACCACCGCCGCCACCGCCACTGCTGCCGCCGCTGCCGCCACCACCACCACAACTACTACTACTACTACTACTACTACTACTACTAATAATAATAATGATAATATTAATAACAACAACAACAATTTTAATATTAATTTTGGGAATTTGAGTGGAGAGAAAAGGGGTTCACGAGACAAAGGATTTATTTTGCACTTTCTACACTTTTAATGGCGATAAAATGACAGACTGAAAAAAGTTTATTCTGTTAACAAAATGATCACCACCATAGTAAACTAATTAAAAGCAAACTTGCTCAACTTTTCTTGTATGATTGTGGTGACTGATTTTCTCAATTGATGTGAGAGTAGGGAGTGACAATTTTTCCCTGCACTTGAAATGAAAAAGTGAAATTGAAACTGGCAAAAAGATTAAATAAGCATAATTATTATTCTATGAGATTTTTGGATTGTTATACATTTCTGGGAAACAGCTACCCACCTACCTCTCCCCTAAGCCAACATTTTGCCCTAAGTGAGCAGTAAGGGCAAAATGTTGGCTTAGGGGAGGGGTAGGTGGGCAGTTCCCCAGAAATGTGTAATGATCCAGATTTTTTTTTGTCACATACTTTCTCTTTAGTTGGGTGAGTGGAACTTACAGCATTCATCATCCTTTTATATGGGCTTGCTGCCTGCGCTTCATCTTTTCAACTGCCATCCAGCAAAGGTATGTACCAGATGGTTCAAGGAGTTAGATTTGCTTTATGGAAAAAAAAAACACACACACACTTAAACATGCTTAGACTTTGGACATGGCTTACATAACTTAAGCAAAACAAAGAGAGTCTCTTATTCATAGCACAGGCTCTTACAAAATGAATTAAAATGTTTTGGTTATTACTTAATAACATAAACCTAAATGCAAGTGCAGTTTTAAATCCCTTTTAACATAAATCCCTTTTAACATGATCAGTTTAAGATCGTGGTAAACTCTTTAATGTTAAGTTTATCCCTTCCCCCTAACTTACTTTGAACATCAAATTCTCTCTTGAGGCTTTCGGATGGGTGGGGTACGTGTCAGCAGTTTGCCAGAGTCTTAATAAGCTTTCTTATCAATTAAAATCCGTAACTATTTTTTGACATAATTTTGCTTTCTCCCTGACCTTCCTGCGTGGTTAATGATGAATGCTGCTCTGCTTTTTTTCTTTTACAGAGTGTTTGCTCCTCCTAATTCATTTTTGCTTCTCCTGTACTCTCCTGTAAAGCCAACACCTGAATTCTGGGAGTGCTGCATGGACTTGGTAACTATCATTGGGGATATTTCATTTACCTCACAGAATAGATACAGTATCTCTCATTTCAACCACACTATAATACTTTTTGTGACGAAAAATGTGTTGAAAAAGCTTCATGACCACCATCACTTTCAAAACAATTTGGGTAACTAATCAACTTCATATTGTAGGGCTCATTAAAAACTTGAATTCCAGCTTGTTCTTTACGCAAGCGAATCTCACATTTCGCTTGCCCAGGGCCACTTCTGGCTCATCTTGTTAGCAATATAGTTTATAGAGGAAGACTCGCCTGCACCCTGTCCACTGGGCAAGCAAGCTTTAAAAGTTACTTGCTCAGCAATAAAATCTACTAGTGCTGGACTACTAGACAGGACTTTTCTGAGCCCTGTTTGCACATGTATCTGTATTTGCAATCCCCAAGCCACACCACCCTTAGAATAATAATAATAATAATAATAATAATAATAATAATAATAATAATAATAATAATGGTTGAATTTCCTTGAATGACAGTATTGTCCTATGTTACAGGGGCAACCTGAACAGAAAATGTTTGAGTTCTACAGCTGTTACGAAAACCTGCACTTGGAAATTGTAAGTAACTGGACCAAAATAATTATAGTGCACATGTATAATGATGATGACAATGATAATTTGTACTGGTTGAGGTCAAAGTAGCGGTTGTTTCTCAGTTGTTTCCTTTTAATTTTGTAGGCAACATTGCACCAATCATAATTAAGAGAGCCCAAGACTGATATTAATTTACAGTTAAAAAACAACCACAGCTTATAGACCGAGACCTGGAGGAAAAAAAAGCACTAATATTGTTCAGTTTAATCATTGATAAAGCTCATTTGAAATTTGCAGTAAATATAAAACTGTAACTTTTCAAAAAAAGACTACGTTAAATACGATATGCATCACTTTAATATTGTAGCCACCTGGTCCCAGTTCCTCTGATCCACTTTGCTTTGAGCTGTTCCCTGCTCCTGAGGGAATGGGAAGGAGTCTTTTTGAGCAAGCCATGGAGAGGTGGGAAATAGACAATAAACCACTAAGGTAACCTGCCATCAGCTTTTTCTTTACTTTGTGTCAGATTTCCTTTGTATAGTGTTTTAACAGAGAGGGTTATGGGCACCTCTTGATTCAACTTCATAGATGGCCTGGAGGGACAGTATACAAACAGTATACAGTAATTTCTAATTTTCTCCTTTCACAAGAATTAAAAACCCTTAATTCTGTATCATGCAACCCCCCCTTTCACTCCTTCAAGGAAATATTAATAATAAATCTTTTGTTCATCTCATATGTCATGCTCTCTCTTGTTATCAAGTTGAATTTATATTTTTATATAAAGAGTCAACTCACTGATTACAGACACCCTCAGCACTGCAAGATAGCAACCTTAATAGTGAGAGTCTGTTGTATTGGGATATAATTTCAGTCAAACAATCATAATTTATCTTTGCTGAGGTTTAAGATGCTTTCTGGCAAAACTTGATTGTCGCTGCTGTATTCAAAGAAGCCTAATATTGGAATATTATATTTATTAGTTTCAGTCACTGCAATATCTGTAAGTACTCAAACTCTGATTTCTTCTGGGGAAAAAATGTAACTGACAGGAAAAGAAATTGTCTTATCTCAGATTATATCAAGGTGGAATTTCCTCATTTCAAAAGCAAGTAATGACTTCATCAGCACAGGGTCCGGGTGAAGAGGAACCAAGTCCCGAACCTAGGCCCTCTCCATCTCCCCATCCACAAAACTTACAGGTAAGGCTAGGGATCGAGACGACTTTATGTGGCAGAAGCATTTTTAAGCTGATGACCGAACCTTGGTCAATAACGCATATATCCTGGTTTTGCAGTGTGCTTAGGGAGGTTACAATCCGACTATGGCGAAATCCACGACAATGTCCTTGAAAAATAAACTTCATATCCTTTGACACATTTTGGCAATTATCCCAATTCGCCTTGTTACTTAAAAGAAGGGAATTTGTATTGGAGGTGAAGAGGGGGAACCACACCCAAGTTCAAATAGAGATGGTAGAATTTATCGCCTTGCTGTTCCCGTTCGCAAGTAAACTTAAAATTTGGCCATTTCACGTCCCGTTTGTGAACAGAACAGCAAAGAAATTCACAAAAGGGCATAATGAGCCGCAGAGTTATTGTTTTGCTCATTAAATCTATTGCTGTATTGACACTGACTCATATTGCCGTCACCGTCGTTGCTTCATATGGTCCCTTATCTCACACTGGGCACAACAAACATCAGGATTGAATTTATTAATTCATGATTTCTTCCATGTTCACAGTTTCTCATACCAGATGTACCAGAAACGTCCTTGTCCCTCAGCTTTGAAGAACACATTCCAGGAGAGTTTTCAGAGCAGGGATATGTAAATCAACAGATTTTTCCACAGCCAAATCCAAAGAAACTACAAACAAAGCCTGATAAACAGTCTCTGAAACGAGTCCAACATAATCAAGAAAATAATTTAGTAAGAAATCAAGGGAAAAGGTCGCCAGGTTTTCCAAAGGAAAAGCAAAATGGTAAGCAGTTTAGGGCTAATGGTGGTTGGCAGGATTCACCATCGAGGGAACCCTTGAAACAAATTTTAGCTCCGAATCATGCTAATAACAATGTTATGGACCAACAACAGGTCTCCAAGAGGCCTCTTCCAATGCAAGGCTCTTCTGGTGTTCAGAAAGCTCCTTTAAAAAGAGGGAATGCTCTTGGTCGTGATGTGAAAGGGAGATCACCAAAATCTTTCACAAGTGACAGTAATTCGAGATCGAAAGTGAATGGAAAACAGCTATCAGCAAAGGGACCCAATGCTTTGCATCATACCGATGTTAGAAACAACCAGCAAACAAATGGACGTAAATTTCAGACAATGCGAAGTAATCCTCAGAGTCACGAAGGTAGGGATGACAAAGTAATTTCCGATTTTTCAAGTGAACAAGTTGTTCCTCCAAACCAACCAGCAGGAAATACTAGGCAAAGACATGTTGATCAGCGGCAATTTTTTGGACATTCAGATGGCCAAGAGTTACATCATAACAGCTGCCCTCTACCAGTCAACCAAGTGCAAAGACCTGTATTGGAAACAGTTTTTGAAGGTGATACACCAGATGGAACACTGAACAAAAGTATGAATGAAACAGAATTAGAATTTCAGCTCGGTGAAACAATGCAAGCTCAAGAAGCTTTGCAACAAGCTCAGAGGGTCGCAAGTGATGTAGGCAGAGATGCTGACAAAAATGGAAACCCTGGTTTAATTTTCGATCAAGATGGAAAACAAAATGTTGTTTTTCAGTGTATGGAGCAACAAAGAAAAGAGGGATCTGTTTCAAGGCGAGGGAATCTTGAAAACATGGAGGATAGGATAAACCAGCCTATAATCTGTAGACAAGACAGTCATGAGGAGATGCCAGGCTGCAGTACTGTTTCTGCTTCTGACAGCAGAATGGATCAGGCCCATAGTGAAACAACACAGGAATTTAAAGTTACGGATAGACACACTTTTGACAGAGAACATGAGGAAAAACTGCCAGAAAAAAAGGAGACAGCGGATGTTGTGACAAGACAGGCAAACCAGAAGTGCTCAGGAAAAATGACACGGCCAGATCCTTATGAGCTTCTCATGAGACAGGATGCGCAATTGAGGCAACTACAAGAGCAGGTAATGTTTGTAGTAAGTAAATCGCTTCTGCATGAATTTGAATGACGGTAACATATACATGTACATAAAGTGCAAATTTGAAACTGGTAAGGCCAGGTAATAAGGCATCACTTTAATGATAATGGTGATGATGATGATGATGATGATGATCATTTACATGGTCATTTGAAGTTCTTGCACCATGTGCACTTTTTAAGTTATTGTAAGCAGAATATCATTTGCCTATGAGGAGCCCTGTAGCATGCATGCCAGACTGCATGGTATCTTAATGTTCACAGCATGGGCTTCCAACCTCCGAGCTTTTGGCCTGAAGGGCTCCTTCATATTCTTTCTAGGAAAGAGCCTTTGACCTTCTCAACATTCCCTTTACATTGCAGATCAAGCTGTTACTACAACAACAAAATTCACAACTCCCCCATGCTAACCCCTTGCTGACCCCTCCAAGAACTCCTCACAATGAATGTTCCCATGGTAACAGTAAGCCCACAGATAACTCCCCTGTTTCCATGGTGACAGTATGCACAAACACAGGTGCAAGTCTGTTGATAGGAACTCCAGTAAAGCCAAATGGAAAGAGATCAGCTGCTACGTCACCCATGAAAGAAAAGGATATGAATAACAGCAGGTTTGGGCATAAATTTTTAATTGAATGACCAGGAAGGCTGCCTACTTTTCGATGTTTTAAATTTTCCTGCAGACGATGTGAATGTTTTTTAAACAATCAGCTTGTAACGTTTCAATTTTTACCTCTGTAGCCTGTGCAAACAGCTGACATTCCGCGACGCCACCACTGGTTTCCGCGCGAAATGTCGTCTGAGGAACGAGCCAGAAAATTCGATACTGATGACGTGTCACTATCCAGATCTAGGTGGTGCTTCTGATTGGTTGAAGCAAATTTTCCGCGCGGCACGACCAATCAGAAGCACTACTCAGATTTGGGTAGTGGCACGTCATCAGTGTGGAATTTCTGCGCTCGTTCTTCAGACGTTATTCTTCGGCGAAACCAGTGACAGTGTCGCAAATTTTGGTTGTTTTCTGAGGCTAGTACTAGTACCTCTGAAATGTTTGTACTGTCAATAAGGATCACATGTTCCATGGACACTGAAAAGTTCTTTCTGTAGCCGGAATATAAACCCCTCACTTGGACACAACGCTACTGGCGCACTCAAGTTTTGCACCTTCTTTCAAGATTTCTTGGGAATTTTGTCCACGTTGCACTGGTAGAAAAATAGATATTTTACCTAAGAAATGTGTAAATGCTTGAAGTTTGTGGAAACTCTAAGAAAAAATTCATGCCAAAGCCCAAAGAGTGCATGACGTTTGTTTAATGTGCCAGATTAATATTTAATTGATGAATAAGGAGGCGTGTTGACTGAAAGTTTGGGTCATTATTTCTATGTGTAGATCTTTGCCATCGTCAAGTAAAGAAACAAGCCAATACAATCAGAAAGAATCCGAATGTCATGACATAACGGTCAGTCCTGAGGAATTAGCCAATCAAGTGATAGAACTTGACGACCCTAGTCAGACGCTGGCTTCATCCCTTCATGCAGTTGATATTCCCAGTTTTGTTGAAAGCCCTTCTGGTGTGACCAGTCCTAGTTCCGCTGATCGGGCTAAACAAGGACGTATGGAAACGAGTTTATCCAGTCCTGTGTTAGGTAAGCTGTTATGATAGCAAAAATAATTATGAAGAACTGGCCTGAATACATGAGCAGAAATCCAAAGGGGTTAATTTTGTTGTCGTTGTTGTTGTTATTTTTTGTATTATTTTTGTTTTTGCAACACTTTGATGAGTAACACTTAGTATACACAAAAGTGAAAGTAAAATGCATGCTGTGATTCGTGCTGCGTGGTGCAACTGAAAAGAGAAAGAATGTGACCCTTACCTTTGTCTTGCTATTCTCGATCTCACCAAGGGTCGCATGTCGCGCGAATTTCCGCGCGGTCTCGCGTGTTTTGCCCATGGTACTTAAGTCTCAATATTCTCGATTTCACCTCGGGTGGCATGTCGAATTTCCGTGTGGTCGCGTGTCTTACCAATGGTATTCTTCACTAGGAAAAACGTTGTGACCTTAACATTTTGAGTTGTCATACATTTCTCAGGCGAAAGTGCAAGTGTTCTTGTAGAGAAAAGGCAGGATGGAAGCGAACCACACGCCATAAATGACGAAGCGAATGAACGTGCTGTCGAGGAGGAAGAAAGCAGACGATTGAAGTCAAACCATGCTAGCCTGCTAGAGAGAAATGAGCGTCAATTTTATGACAATCTATTGGTGAGTAGAAATGGTAGGGCGTCTTGTTTCATCATTTGTCATCAGTTTTGCCGATCTCTGCACCTTTCTATCTTGCAACCCAGAGGGTTAGAATGACTGGTGCATTTTGCTTGTTCGGGCTTTCCACCGAAAAGCTACATTTAAAAGCCTGTATAGTTAAAGTGTGCTACAAGAAAACGTGTAACGGCAACGACGTTTGGATGCTATGAGCTGCAGAATAGAGTACTAAAGTGTGACGTCATAAAAATGAAATTTCTGAAATTATGGGATTTGTCAGGATATTCTGAAAGAACAATGTCCAAGAGGCCTGCTTGCCAAAAATGAGCATTTGGGGGCAAATTGTCTCTGAGATCGTAGCCCAGTTATACTTACAAAACTCCATACAAACCCTTCTAAATTTTTTTTGGGTCGACCCAAAAAACAATTAGAAGGGTTTGTATGGAGTTTTCTGAGTATAACTGGGCTACGATCTCAGAGACAATTTGCCCCCAAATGCTTATTTTTGGCAAGCAGGCCTCTTGGACATTGTTCTTTCAGAAGACCCTGACAAATCCCATAATTGCAGAAATTTCATTTTTATGACGTCACACTTTAGTACTCTATTGGTTTAAAGGAGTGCATCCCCCAACCAACCACCCAACCTTCACTGGAATTCCATAATCCTCCCTCGTTGTTCCCTACCCTGTGATTAGAGACCTTTAGATTAGACGACGAGGGCGAGATTAAATGGAAAGCTTCATTGTACTTTTTCGCGAGAAAAGTTAGCACGGTTATTTCTTTATTGAAGGTGGTTAAGCCCTCTCTCGATCGCAAAGTGATAAAATTTCTACCAAAGATGACTGGTTTTCGCCACTACGAGATTAGAGGGATTTAGATTTTAGGACGAATACGATAAGGAGTTTACTTTTCTTCACCAATAATGTTAGTACGGCTTTTTATACTGAAGGAGATTAAGCCCTCTCCCGATCGCAAAATGATAAAACTTCTTACATTTGATAATTTGTTCCGGCCACTACGACATTCTCGCTAAAACTCCTGCGTCGTCCCCAGTCGCTCGCGATCACTGGGGGAAATTTGAGTTTCTCGCTTGTTTCGCGTGCTCGCGAGTTCCCCAATTCCCTCTTAGACTTGGGAAAGCCGGTGGAGGGGGCAGCTAAAACTCGTAGTGGAATGACGAAGGCTATCATATTTTCCGGCCAAAATGAAGCTGGTTCACGTGCGAGCAATACTTACTATTGAGAAAATCTCGTACTCGTAGTCGTCCCCGTCTTAGGTTCTAAAGATCTCTATTTATAAGGGAACACAGAGTAGGTAAAGAAAAGTCATCAGTATCCATGTACGAATGATACTCATCCTGGCGTGTTATTTTCAGAATCAAGTTAAGACCATCCTTGATCAACAAGCCGAAGATGAATCTCATTCACACAAGGAATCCGAGAAATCTGTTGAGAAGGAACGAGTTACTGTGCACGAGCCAACACGCGAAGAAGTAGTCGCGGCAACGATGAAAGAATTACAGAAGATCCAAACTTCTTATGGTGAAACTGGAGATATGGACAACGCAGAACCTTCAAAGTAAGAGAAAATTTACTTAAAGTTTAGTATGTTGAGGAGTTGTAGGGGCGGATCTGGGGGGAGGATGTAGGGAGTGCCCACCTCGCCCCCCACGAGATGACCTTTTGCGGCTTTCGCAAAATATGCAGATATGTATGATATTTATTCTCAGTAGTTCACATTATGTTATTGCCTTGTCAACAGCCTTCTTCTTCGTATTCGCTTTTAAAATTTGTTTACGTCATCAGTCAGTTACGCCATTCCTTAGTGGTGCACTCCTCCTAAGAAAAATCGTGGATCCGCCCCTGAGTTGCATTAGTTCATTTTGTAATAGATAGAGCGTTCTCGCCTGTCGTCACGAGCTCCATATTAGGGACCTTACGAAACTACGACGGTAACGGCAACGGGAACGTCGAAAACTCAGTAGGTTTATTTGAGCAAAACAACAACTCTGCACGTGCATCACGCTTTTTTGTACATTTCTTAGCCGTCCTTGCACAGCTGCAACGTGAACTGACCAAATTTTTAGTTGACTTGAGAACGGGAACGGCAAGGCGATGAATTTTAATCTCTCTCTGAACTCGGACGCGGTCCCCTCTGTTCAGTTCCAACCTAATTTCCTTTCTTTCAAGTAACTGGGTGACTTGGTAAAAGGAAGAAAAAGTTTCAAAGGATGCGAAGTCTATTTTTCAGCAACGTTTTCACTGGCGTCGCCGTTGCCGGATCGTAAGGTCCCTATTTTGCAAGGAATTAATCCAAGATTAGACAGCCACGATTCGCGGTACCCTAGCAAACACAAGGCACGGACTGCTTGCTAATCAATTCCGAGTTGGTGATGATTAGTTTCGACAAGTCCGAATCTTAACCGACTGAGAAAATCTTGAGTTCTGATTGGGTCCGATAGTATTTCTTTGTTACTTACAAACCTACATTCGGAAAACTCGCAACGCGTCGGCACATTTGGCAAAAAGCAATCCACTCAACGTCAGAGTCATCCGAAAGATACAAACAAATTAACAATCTTTTTTTATCTTCAGGCTTCCGTACACTTCAACCACTAGACAATGGCCGCTGCACAAATCAGTGTCACTGAGTGCAATACCAGACCATCCTCACATCAATTACGTGTCGTTCTCCGTTGACGAGACACTTGACGAGGTCTTCAGCGAGACCTACCTAAAATATCTCACTGACACTCAACTACAAGAGCTTCAACACATGAGCGGCCACCACAAGAAGCACAGCCGCGACAGAGCAGTAACATTTAGTGTTCTAGAAGAAGCCAGGAGTACTTCGCTAAGGAAAGGATCGGTTGATCTAAGTTCTCTGTCAGCCACGGATTACACTTGGAATAACTTGTCCATGGCTACCAGAGATTATTTGGGGAAATATTGTTTAGGTCCAACACAACCTGGCGATAGTGTCGAAAGTAGTAAAGGGACTGCAGAAAAGAAAGTGACAGAAGTGAGTAATAGGAGTGAAAGATCCCATTCCTCTGTGACGTCACAGGGGTGTACAGCCCCGCCCTGTACTCCGGAGCCCACCAATAAGGATGAGAATGACTCACAGATCTTAGACATAATGAGACTCAAGAAGCTGCCAAAATTGTTTTGACAAACGTGTTCTGCAACAGCGTGTAGATGACGGACACTTCTACCATGCGTCGTTGTAGTTTACCAGGTTCTTTCTCATACAGGGGTTCGTATACACGACATACAACACTGGGGATTATTTCTTTATTTTCTCTGTGACATTCTATCAATCCATACATGACCTACATCGTCTGCAAAAATTATTTCCCCATAAATAAAATATTACAATTGTCTGATTCGTTTTGGAATATATACAGCGCTGATGTGATCTAAAAACGTTAGTTTCTTTCAATTTTCGAAACTAGGGGCTATGATTGTTACAATCCCAGATCCTGACACCACAACATTTCAAGAGACACCGAAAATAGCAAACTTATGGTCTTGCTCAGATTAATTTTGGCAATTTCAGCACTTGACAGAACCGTAGTTAAATAAAGTGAAATGATTAGGAAACCCTTTGCTCTATGTTTTTGTTAGCTTTTTTGGAACTGACCGTGCACAACGTTCAATAGCATTCCTATCATTTTGGGCTTACTGACCAATAGAAACATCGCATTAATTTATTCTGTCTTGTGAACACAAACCGAAGGATTGTGCACGGTCAGGGAGCTTCTAACATAACCTACAGCATCATTGTTTTCAACTTTGATGTTTGCCGGCTTTCCTAACCAGTCTCTTCTACTATTAAACTATGACAGACCTGACTGAAATAACACTGTTACTTCTCTGACCTGCACAAGAACATAAGAAAAATAAGCGAATCTGAAGAAAGCAAGAACGGACTGTATTCTTGCAACCTGAAACAGAACTGAGCAGCCCATAATTCTTCACGTTTGTCTCTGTATGAAGATAAGACTTGAGTGGGACCATTTACTTCTGTTACGTGGAGAAATAAATATGAGGCTTTTTTTTCATCAATTTGCAGTTTAACTGCGTAGTTAACGAAAGAGGCAAAATCGTTGACACTACCATGACCTTGCCTCCTTAAACTCAGTCAGGTCAAACAGGGTTACTATGATTATAAACATTTAAAATCCGCGACAGCATCAAGAAGTTTCTTTGCAAGTTGGTTCACGCCATCATTTGAAGGGTCGACTGTTTGTTCCACGCTTTCTGTCATTCCCTCATCGAGAAGAAGGGGGATGTACCGCGCAGCTGTAGAAGAATCATAGAATAGATTGTGATTAAAGCGCTGGATATTAACACCTATGTGCATATAACAAGGAGCGAACTTCCTATGATGCTGTTTATCATGTTGAAAATGGGGACTTCTAACTTTTGGGTCTACTGTTACCAATTCAAATGAAAGTTACTGAGCAATACTCTCCGGTGATACTGTTTGTTTTGTTGCACAAGATGGTTTGAAGTTTTGAGTCTGTGGATGAAATCCTCATGTGTGACCATTCAGATGGAAGCTACTCTACTGAGCATTATTTTCCTGTGTTACGGTTTATGCTGTGCAAGGTGGTTCAAAGTTTAGAGTCTGGAATGGATGAAATCCTCAAGTGTGACCTCTCAAATGAAAACTAACGAGCAATACTTTCTGTGGTACTGTTTATTGGACAAGATAGTTCAAAGTCTGGACGAAATCCTCAATTGTGACCATTCGAATGAAAGCCACTGATTCCCTGTGGTTATTAGGTGTGACCAATCATTGAAAGTTAATTAGCAATACTTCCCTTGTGCTACTGTTCTTTTAATACTCAGCACTATTTTTCTCTGACCTATTTACCACGTTTTTCCGGGTGGCTTTTCACTTCACTTCCCAGTGACGGATCTAGCGAAGGGGCCTGGGGGGGCCCGCCCCCACCTCTTATTTTTAGACCAAGCTGAAGGGCCGAAAAAAATTTCTTGAGGGACCGGACCCCCCTTATCTCCGGATCTGGATGACCGACGCCCCCCACCCCCCCCCCCCCCCGCCCCCACCCCCCCCCCCCCGCCAGCACACCCAACACAACACCCCACCCCCCGCCCATCCCCGCTCAACCGACACACACCCACTCAGACCATCAACACGACACACAGACAAAACCATTCCCGGGACCGCGACTAGGCAGAGGGCCGGGGGGGGCCCCCCCCCACCCTTTATTTTTAGACCAAGGTGAAGGGGCGAAAAAAATTTTTTGGGGGGCCCGCCCCCCCTTTTCCCCGGGTCTGGAGGCCCCCCCCCCCCCCCCCCCCCCCTTCCAGAGGTCTGCATCCGCCACTGCTGCTTCCTACAAAAAGCCTACAGCGCGACCATTTAAATGAAAGCAACTGAGCAGCACTTACTTCTGGCACTATGAAAAAATTCCAGAAAGTAGTTCTACGTTCACAGGCGTGGATAGAAGTGACTCTAATTCAGTGGAGACGCGCGCTTTTTGTATCAATAGGCTGATTTCGCAACAGAACGGGAACGTCATTTGACGACGGGAAAGCGCGCGGAAAGGACTAAACTCCACTTCCGGTGCCCAATTTGCCGCTCTGTCATTGGTCAAGCCAGTTGTTTGATTTGCGGGCGCCGTCGTCAACTAACGTTCCCGTTCTGCTGCTAAATCAACCTAATAAGGCTGAAATGCCTCCAAAGGTACTACCCCACATTGTAATTCAAGTGAGACTTGAGGGTTATACTTTGTAACTATAGAAACTTGCATACCATTTCTATGGCAAACATGAAGCATTCCCCACAAAGCCCACATCTGTACTGCGGGCATTGAACAATGAAGAAGCTGTATAAATGGCGTGAACGACCTGGAAACAAACCACAGAACACCTAATCAGCGCACGCCACTTGCATGCAACTAAGGCAAAGCGCAGGAAATTAAAACCCATGTGCACGGGTAACGTCACGGCTGATTCTTGATTTTACTCCTATAGCAGCTACTGTAGTAACTGTGTATATGCTCCCGGAACACTAGCAGCGGAGCACCATGGGTACGAAAATGTGAACTACCCATCCGGGAAACTACCCATCCGTCCGTCCGCACCACAGGCATACCAATGTAAAATAACTCAATCAACAGGTATGGCAACCCAAATGCAACTCGAGGTAATTTTGTTGGGAGGTCGCATAGCTACCCGCGTCTTGTGAAGCAGAGACAAAACTAAGGAGTCAATGAAGGCGAAAACGGAAAGCGGAAATAGTCTCTCTATCCGTGTTTTCTAAGGTATTAAACTTAGATTAATTGTCATGTCCACAAATTTGGAATATAGAGCAGGAGAAAGACCGAGAAAAAGAAAAGTGGGCGGCAGAGGGCGACAGAGATCTAGAGCGAGAGAGAAAAAACAAAGGAGACATTTTTTTTAGTGTTGGAAGAACAACATAAAAATTTTGTAGCGGCCAGCAATGCAAGGTGAAAATGAGCCGCAGTGAAAAAAAAAACTGAACAACAAAACGTACGACATTTCCTCCATAAAACGAGTAACCAAGAAGTTTCTGGAAGTTTCACGTTGTAGTCGTGCAAAACAACGGCAAAGAAATGCACACAAAAAAGTGTGCTGCACGTGCAAAGTTGCTTTTTTGCTTTCTCCGGCGTTGCCTTTGCCGCTTAGCATTACACGATTTTATATTTTGTTTGAGCAAACTATAAATATTATTGAGAGCTTCGCTTTTAGCCCTGGCTAAATCTATATACTATAACAAGGCAGTTGTGACGGAAACAACAGAACGGTGTGACATTCTCGTACCGATATGCAACAAGTTCCTCTGATGGCAAATCCCAACTCTTCACTGCTTGCTCCTGTCAAAAAAAAAAGAGAGAGATGACATTTTGTATTTTTTTTGCCCGAACAGAATTTCGTCAGCGAGTGACCTCTTAATTCCAGGCTGCTGGGAGAACCCCTTTTTTTTCGGAAATCCTCTTAGGAAGCGGGAAGACGAAGCTGGTATCTCCCCAGGAATCAAACAGAGACTACACCTTACTATCAAGTTTTTATTTTCATTTCGTACCTTTTACGGTGATCATTAGATCAAGAACACAAACACAAAGAAGCAGAGAAAAACGATGACGTAATAAATTGAAAGTGCAAAGCAAGTCTGCGAAAGCAGACATACTTACATTCACCGGAGAGAAGCAACGACCGGAAATACTTCTACGATCGACAAACCAGAAATAAGCAGTTCAATGGGTTGTTTGTAAAAAAAATTGATTCCATGTTGCCGTGCGTCTGCTCATACTAGAACAAGGATGACGTCAAAATAAAGTACCAACACAAAAGTGGCGCGAATGTTTTCACCATATTTTCACGTCTGTGATCTATTACTGAACAGACGCACGGTAACATAGAATCTAGTTTTTCTACTGTTTTTAAAATGTGTGCTATGAAACGACAATCTCTGTCTTACATTAAAAAATGCTCAGTTTTGACTTTTATTTTTAATTACTGGGAGAGAGACCAGAACTTAAGCCCTTAATGTCTATTAAGTGATGTTCTTCCCGGGGGGGGGGGGGTCCCCCCCTATACGGCCCTAAACGGGGGGCCCCCGCCCGAGGGGGGCCCCTTTTCCAGACCCCCCACCCCCGGGGGTAGGGGGGGGGGGGGGGGGTGGGCGCCAAAAAATTTTTTTGCGCTCTGGGCGCCCGTTTGGCCTCAAAA